TGAATCAATCTGAAGCTCTCTGAATCGATTCAGAAAAGATTTGGAGAGCTTCGGCGATTCAGGTAGTCCCTGCTGGCTGCAGTAGGGAGCTAGACCCGGACTCTGAGCTGGTAAGAAGGCGGTAGGGGAGAGGAGGCTGGAGGAGGGGGAGGGGACCATTGGGGGACCCCCCATCAGGCCTATCCCCTGCCTGCTCCTCCAGCACCCCTGAGCACCTCCCAACCCCCACCCGCTCTCCCAGCCCCACCATGGCTGCCCTACCCACCCCAACTCCCTGTTGTTTAAAAAAAAGTCCCATTCACCAGGTGCTACCAGGTGTGGGGGGCGATCCCTGCTGCCCCACACTGCCCCGCACTGTGTGGGGGCTCTGCCATGAGCCCCCTGACCCTTCCCTGCTCTCCCAGCCCCCCCCCGAGGGTTGCCCCACCTACCCCAGCTTCAGCCCTTTAAAAACAAAAAACCAAAACCCTGCACTCACCAGCTGCTGCAGCAGCCTGCTTCTGGAGGCTCATGGCAAAGGCTGCCACACAGCACAGGGCAGTGGGGGGGCAGCGGGGATGGCCCCCCCTGCCTGGCAGGAGCCAGTGAGCCCGGGGTTTTTTGTTTCTTTTTTAAGGGCCGGGAGCTGGGGTAGTGCGAGGCAGCCATGGGGGGGAGGGGGGCTGGGAGAGTTGGCAGGGGCCAAGGGGGCCCATGACAAAGCCCCACCATGTGGCGTGGGGCAGTGGGGGGCAGTGGGGATTGGAGCCGGTGAGTGCAGGCTTTTTTTATTTTCAAAGAGCTGGGAGATGGGGTGTGCGGGGGATGGGGCCTGTGTGATTTGGAGAAAACAGTTGGGCCGAATCGATTCAAGACACTGATTTGAATCACCAAATCAAATCACTGTCCCCCAAATTGGCCAAATCCGAAGCGAATACTAGCTGCTTCGCACAGGCCTACAAAATTAGGCACATGCCTGTGTTTAGATACCAGCCCCTCTCTGGGGCCTTGGCACCTCCATCCACCCAGAGATCACAGTTCATGTCGCTGTCCTGAGAGAGCAGGCACCTGCAGTCGTGTTCTCAAAGAGGCCACAAAGCTACTTCACAGAGTACCTTAGTGGGCAGAGCGCTGGTCAATGAAGTGGTAAACCTGGGTGCCTGGCGCTCCTTCATGTGATGGGATTCAAACCCACATCTCCTGAGAGACTACTCCAGGCACCGAGCTCCAGGCTGTTTGGGGCAGTGGGGCATTCTCTTGAGCCTGGGTCACAAAGCAGAACAGAATGAGAGAATGGCTCAGGTACAGGAGGGCTCTCGAACTTGTGGGTCCTACGTGGTCTGCAAAGCAGTTAATTAGCAGTCCCCAGGCTCCCAACCAGCAGCTGTTCCCCCAGGCAGAAGTAGCCAGGAGCTCCAAACTCTGCCTCTCTCCTCCAGCTTCTGCTTCCTGCTCCCACCCCATGAGGTGGTATGGTCACTGCAGCTCACAGGGTTGGGAGTGCCTGTGGCATGGGACACTGCGGGTTGGGGCTGGGACAGCTGCATGACCCAGTGCAATGGGGAAGAGGAGGCATGTCAGCCAGGGGGCCTATGACTTGCAATGGTACAGTCCCCAATCATGTAACTCATGCAGCATGCGGTTCCCTGGCCACGTAGAAGGTGGACAGCCCTGAGCTAGGGGAAGAGCATAAGAGGGACCCTGACTCTCTAGTTTAGTGGTAGGGCACTTACATAGGAGGGTCCCCACTATTAGGCTACCAAGTAGTGCTTGTTCCTGTGCCCTCTATCTATCTGACCTCATAAATATTTATTTATGCCATGATTAAATAAAGCAGTTTCAACAGGAGGGATGAAGAAAACCTCTTCCCGTGAATCCTCTAGGCTGCTGTAGGAGTGGGCAAACTTCCAGCTGCTAGCCAAAACCTGGGACAATCCCCAGAGTCAATGATCTGTGCACAGCATGCAGTTCAGAGGATTGTTTGTCATTAAATATCTTCTTAGAATAAGTGAAAAACAAGGACCATGGAAAACAAACATTAAAAAATAATAAATGAACAGACAGAGAGAAAAAGAATGTCTTTATTTAAACACTCGCCTTTCTTCACAGGCTGCCTTTAGCCTGGGCAGGAGCTATGTGAGGCTCATAGCCCACAATTTTTCTACCCCTGGCCTGATGCTTAAGGTTCAGGTCGCTCTCCTGAGAGAGTAGGCATCTGCAGTCATGTTTTCAAAGAGACTACCAAATCCTCCTCCTTCCCTTGAAAGACTAGATGAGGAGGAATTCCAAGCTCTGGATTCCCACTGGACTGAGACCCTGACTGGGGTGCCTCAATTAGTCTGCCAGGAAGGGCGACCTAATTAGCACTGTCATGACTGTTAATTAGCCATCCCACTGCATTCCCACCCCATCAACACAGCTACACAGCAGTAGCACATAAAGAGTAGGGTGATGCATTTAAGACTGCTGTAGTCAGGCACAGTAAGCTTATTGTGTAGACAAGGCCTGTCTTGGCTATGGTGGAGGGATCCTATTCTGAGATGTCAAAGTCTCCCCATGCACCAGACAGGGAGCCTACAGACCTAACCCTGGGCTTTGGATGACACCCAAGTTAGATATTATGGTCACAAGATCTGGCTCTGAATTCCTTTGAGGGTCCAAAACTAAGATCCTTTTGGGCAGAGAAACTCAAGAGTTCTCAAGGGGTTTTTTTCTTTTTCTTTTCACCAAAAATATTTAAAGCAACCAACTTTCAGGGAGCAAAATCAAGGACACAGTCCCAGATATGCCACCGATGGCAGCTCTGAAAATGATACCAGGTTGTCTATTTTTGGAGCTATGCAACTGCAGAGTTTGCCAACACCGGTCCTGCACAGGCTGCTGCCAGGTGCTGATCTGGGACCAATTTTTCAAACTCAGGATAAAAATCTCTTTTCTGGGAGTCCTTGAGGACACTGCATGCAACTCTGGCTGCAGGGCGACCAGCAAAGCCACAACCCGAGTCCAGATCCCTGGAGGTGCCCACAGTCACCACCCGCCCTCCTGGTGTGCAGGAGGGAACCTCACAGGAGGGCACCTAGCATTCCTGGACCTTCAATTAGACACCACACAATTTACAATTATGTACACTTTATTTACAAAGGATTAAAGAAAAGGAAACGAATTAATACACAACTGATAAACTGTCAGAAACATATTCACACGCTCAGTCAATAACGTTGTACAGGACGATGGCCTCGGATGATATGCATACATGGGTAGCCTGGACCAGATGCCCAGGAAGGAGGAGCTGCTTCCATGCCCCTCCTGTGAGAAGTGGGGGGGGGTCCTTGCTGTAAGAGTATCACGAGGCATGCCCCAGGGGTTGCTGTGCTGCAGGCAGGGCCTCCCTTGCTGAAACTCCTGTAAGGTAGCTAACCCTACCCAGACCCTCACCCCCTGACACATCGGAAGCAGGGTCTGGGCTGCCACTCCAGCAATCTCCCCTGCCCACACCCACTTGCCAGGTAGGTAACGTTCACCCCCTCCCTTGGGTCTTAACTCTCTCACAGGGGCCCTGTCCTATGTGAGGATGGCTCATGTCCCCTAGCTCGGCCTCCCACCCAAGCCCACGGGGAGCTGGATCAATCTCTGCAGCCCCCCACCCCTAGGGCACCTCACACCACATGGGGACTTGAAGAAGAGTCCTCCCTGCTGGGGGGGTCTCCAGAAGGGCCGGGTGCTCCTCCAAGCAGCTCGGGCAGGGCTCCCAGGGGAAAAGGAGCAAGAGAGGCATGGCAGCTGGGCTTCCCCAACCCTCCAGCCTGCAGCACAGCGCAATGCAGCCCGCATTTTCCTCATGCTCCAGCAGCTGTGGAGACGGGACACCGTGCCCAAGCTCTCCCTACGTCTCCAGGCTTCTCTCCCTTTCCCCAAGATGGGTCCTTCACAGTGGGCTTCATCTGCCCTTATCGCATGATCTCCGGGGAGCCATTTTTCCCTTTCCAGCATGGCTGGCTCTGGAGAGAGTATCACATGGTCTCTGAGGAGCCGCACTGTCCCGCGCTGCTGCCTGCTTGAGTTCACCCTGGGACCTTGTTCTCTCAAGTAAGGTGGCTTCATTGCTTGTTACACACACATCAGCCCTGAAATTTAGGAAAATCCATGAAGATCCAGGCTGTGCAAATAGCCATCAGACCACCTATGTAGTATGCTTTTACATGTGTATCAACGTAGGATAGACACAGACAGGACAACGTTCACAACTAAGTAGATCTTAAACCAAGGTATAAACATTTCAGAGAACTCTAACACTGGAGCCTGTGAGTAAATAGCATGCATTTTAAAGAGCATTACCATGTAGAAGTAATTCTCATGTCATGCACCAGACCCAGCCAGTCTTTGGAGCTTTTTCCATTCACATTTTCCATCCCCTGAAGCCTCATTCTTTGGCTTCAGACCTCTGAAGCCATCTTCAAACCCTCTGTCCTTGTATGTAAGCCCTTTGCCTTACTGTGCAACTGGAAAGCAGAGGGGAATTGAATGTTTTCACAGGAGACCTGGGATTGCTCAGATGACTAGGCCTGGCAGTCTAAATACATGTTCCTTGCATGGGATGTATCAATATTTCAGTACTTTTAGATGTGTGGATAGGTGGGAGTTGGACCAGATGACTTCCTGAGGTCCCTTCCAGCGCTACTTTTCCATGAAATGTTCTTGTAGAAAAGCAAGCTATCCAATTTCTCCATGCAGCAAACGGTGCTTGTTTATACAGCCCTCCAGTATGTAAAATGCAGGTCATCTGGTCCTAGCAGAGACTTCAACTGAACAGCTCTGATTAGTTCCACTTGACAACTGGGCCTTGGATCTGAACAAGTCCCAGAAGTCTGAAACATAACTGTGTGTTAGTGCTTCCAGAAACATGATGGGTGCATTGAAAAACAAATCTGGTAGCTCTTACTGCACTGTTCTTTGTATTTAATAAGAGCAGAAAACCTCCACAATAGTCCCAAATAAATCACAGCAGGCCCATTTGTAACATTTCAAGATTTTATTTCTTGTTCTGATGACAGTCAGGAATATAAAGTTGTATGAAAAAAAGCCTAACCCCTCCTCATGATGGTGAGTTAAAGGGAGAGAAAGAGATGGAAGCAGGGGGTCCCCAGGTAGTGCTGAGAATGCTAGGAGGAATGAACTTTCCTGGTTTTGCATCCCATTGATTGGATTAATGAGACTGGAGGAAGTTGCAGAGCTTCTGGAGTTCTATAAGAGGAAAAGAGACAATTAAAACAATAACAGCAACTTGACCATAGAGAAAACGCATCATGGGCTCACACATGCACTGTGCTATAAGGAGCTCCTCCAGTCCCACCAGAATCTACTCTGGCCATGGGTTCTTCCAAGAGGAAAGGCCATGGGGGAGGGTGCAGGAGCACTGAATGGGCAGCAGAGATTTTACAGCCATGTAGCTCATCTGCTCCTTTCACACAACAGTTCCACATAAGGGATTAAATATGGTCCTAATTCTGGCAGCCAATGGACTGTAAGTTCTCAAGGGACTTGTCATGACATTATTTCAAATCACCATAGGTCACAAGTGGCCAAAAGTCATTGCCATTCAAAGAGTATATGGTGAACTACATGAAATAAATGGGTGGTCTCAGTCAAGTACCTTAGTGAACTTGAGTCCCTGTCACAAAATTACCTCCATCACAGCTCCTACTTAACCCTCTTGGGTTGTGGTGCAACAAACACATCTGTGGTGCTGCAAACTGCGCATACCTCACATGCATGCATTTGCCGCACTGCTAATTAGCAGTGTGGTGGGGTTTTTCTGTCACTGGGTTCTCCTGGTGTCAAAAAACCTGCACCAGAAAAAAGCAAAAGGACACACATGGTGGCAGTGTGCCCCACCCGAATCTGGAGCCTGGCCAGCCAGAGCCACGCTCCAGTTCTCAGCCACGCTCTGCGCACCCAGATCATTGCTGCTGCAGCCCCGGGAGGCCTCCAGAGTCCCAGGTAAGGCTGCTGGGGCCAGCCCAGGTGCCAGCTCCAGGCTCCCCTACCCCACCTGAAGCAACACTAAATATGTGCCACTGCTATTTATCCCTAGGGAAACACATTATGTTCCCACTCATGGGGTGCGCCCTAGGTGGCCACCTGAGAGGAAATGTCAAGAACTGAAAGGACATAAAAAACTGAATTAGAAACCTCTTATCTTAAGAAGCGGCTCCTACAGAACCAGATTGGGCACACAGGCAGGATAGCAAAGGCTCTATAACCATCTTCCTCCTGTAACTGTGTTGGGAACGGACCATTCCTGTGCAGTGCATTGAGCAAGTGTACAATCCATGCAATTAACTGTTTTATATATATTTTAACACTGGGGGTTTGTCCTCATTTTTGTTTGGGGAAAAAACTGAACAGGCAAGGGACAGGAATACTTGCCTACAGCTCCAACTCCTTACATACTGCATGTCTATAAACAAAGAAAGCCATTTCATCTATTTCTTATCTAAGACTGTTACAATTACCTGATGGATTGCGCTTATTGAGATTAGCAACAGAGTCAGTGTACTGCTTTCCAAGGAATTCCTCGTAGGTTGTATCTTTAGGCACTTCAATCAGGCACTGGGTCTTGTCTTTGAACAAAAGGTCCTTGGTTTCAGACTCAAACAACGCAAAATCTTCATCTGGATCTCTTTCACGTCCAAACCGTGTCTAAAATAAATTTAAAATGTGCACATAAAGATCACCTAATGCAAATCAGACTATGTTTAAGGGAAAGATTCAGAAAGCTCTTTCACCCGAAGTGAACATTTAAAAAATATTTTGCATGTACCTCAAAATGACCTCTCTCTGTCATCTAAGGGCCCCCTTAGCAGAAGAGCCCAGTAGATCTACTACGGATCTGCAAATCTGATTTCCCTGGAAGCAGCTAAACTCCAGAGCCTCCGCTTTTTTTCTACCTTCAAGTTCCCCAAGCACCTAAAGTTCTGCTTCAGCACATGCCCAGAAGTGCTTCAGTCTTTACAAGTCTGAGCACTCAGTGCCCATCTCTCTCCTAAACTTTATTAGGATACACAAACCAGATGTATCTATAGCCCTCTTCCCTGGAGGTCTCATTCCATAGGTATTTTTGGAGAATGTTACTGGATTAAACCTGCAAAAATTGCAAGTGGATTTTGTACTAAAACATGTTCAGAGAAGAAGTTGGCAGTGGTGATGTGCACCCCCCACCTCCCATCCCTTTTGTACAATAATCTTAGAGCAACAGCAATCACCCAGCAGGAGACCTTGAGCCAATTCCCTTCTCTGCTTGAGGGGATTTCAATTCAGTATCACCTACCTCCCAGAAAAGCACCCTAAGCACTAGGCCACAAGTTGTCTGCAATTTGTGTAGCAATGCCACTTTGTAGACAAAGAATTCAACATACATTGGGTCAGACAAAAAATACAAAAAGGAGCATGGCTCCCTAGCCTTATGGCTAGAGCCATCACATTTGGGGGTGGGAGTGGTGGGCCTGGCTTCCAGTCTCTGCTACAAGAACTGTTTATATGTTTTATACGAAATATATTTTATCTGGTGACTTCTGAGGCAAGGATTTCTTAAGGTGATATCTTGTCCTGAACTAACTAGTGGGGCTGTTAGGAAGGCTGAGGTGGAGCTGGACCTGGGACTAGCGACCCGGATCAAGGATAACAAGAAGTCCTTTTTTAAATACATAGGGAGTGGACGTAGTCTTTTTGGACTTTAGGAAGGCCTTTCACGTGTCTCTTACCCCATTCTCATTAAGAAATTAGGCGACCATGGCGTCAATGCCTACACAGTCAGATGGGTGGCAAATTGACCGGAGGGTCGCACCCAGAGAGTGGTGGTGGATGGGTCATATTGGACCTGGAGGGATGTGGGCCGTGGGGTCTCCCAGGGCTCAGTCCTCAGGCCCACACTGTTCAACATCTTCATCAGAGACATGGATGAGGGGTGAAAAGCAGCTTATTCAAATTTGCAGATGACACTAAGATGTGGGGAGAAGTGGGCATGCTGGAGGAGAGGGACAGGCTGCAACTAGATCTAGACAGGTTACAGAGGTGGGCGGATGAGAATAGGATGGGATTCAATACTGACAAGTGCAGGGTATTGCACCTGGGGAGGAGGAACCAGCGGTAGACCTACAGGCTGGGGAACTCCCTTCTTGTCAGCACAGAGGCAGAAAAGGATCTTGGAGTCATTACTGACTCCAAAATGAACATCGCCAACAGTGTGAGGAAGAGTCAGGAAGGCTAACCGCCCCTTGTCATGCATCCACAGGTGCATCACGAGCAGGTCCAAGGAGGTGATCCTCCCCCTCTATGCAACGTTGGTCAGGCTGCAGTTGGAGTACTGCGTCCAGTTCTGGGTGCCGCACTTCAGGAGGGATGTGAACAGCAGGGTCCAGAGGAGGGCCACTCGCATGATCAGGGGCCAGCAAGGCAAGCCCTACGAGCAGAGGCTACAGGACTTGAACCTGTTCAGCCTCCACAAGAGAAGTCTGAGAGGGGATCTGGTGGCCGTCTACAAACTGGCCAAGGGGGACCAGCAGGCTACGGGGGAGTCCCTGTTCCCCGAGCACTACTGGGAGTAACTCTTGGAACTACATCCATAAGTTGACCAAGAGTAGATTCAGGCTAGATATCAGGAGGCACTACTTTACAGTCGGGGCAGCTAGGAGCTGGAACCAACTTCCAAGGGAAGTGGTGCTCAACACTACCTTAGGGGTCTTCAAAAGGAGGCTAGAAAATCACCTAGCTGGTGTTGTTTGCCCGCAGCTTTCTTTCCTGCCCATGGCAGGGGGTTGGAATTGATGATCTACTCAGGTCCCTTCCGACCCTATCTACTATGAAACTATGAAACTACATAGTTGGGATCAAATCAAGCAAGCTTTCGAATGGCAGACATTCTTCATCGGGTCTCTGATTCCAAGAAGCCAGGCACAGCAAGAGAAGCACAGCACAGGGGAAGGGTTGAGAGAAATTATCAGGGGTAGTAGACACACAGTTAACAGAAGAAAAGAAGCTGATTAGGTTGTGGATTTTCCACTGTAAGATTTCAGTATGTTGCATGTTACAGTAGTGTGAGAGTGATGTTGTACAACACTCTTCCACTACAATAAATGATCCCTGAAAGAGAAACTATAGTCAACATCCTCCCTATGAATACACCTAAACCTGAGAGGCAGGTACAGGACAACCTGTTGCAAGAAGCAGAATAGCTATAGTTACCCATGCCTGGATTTGAACAGTACGTGGCTTTTCTAATGGGTCTAATGATTTATGTTACTTATGCATGACTGCAATTGGTTCACTGTAACAAACTAAGATGTAGGGTACAAAACCGATAGAATACACTCCACCCACAGCACAGACCTGTTGTTCTTGGAGTATCTGATGGACGAGCTCTATTTTATCAGGACGTGTCATCACAGCGTGGGTAGGAACTTCTGCCAGATGACAATTTGCATATTCTCCAGGCTTTGCCCGGGTCCCATCAAGGCACAGCAGCTCAAATTGGTCTGCTGTAAGATCTTTTGCCCAGTCAGCTTTATTGTTTCCTTGAAAAGAATTGGTTTGATAAGGGACCGTGTTGTTATTCATGCTCTGAACATACCCAGAACACATCCACAGCACTGAATTCAGACCAAAGTATAGCAAAAGCATGACTAGAGAAAGAAGGGGAGTGTCAGGTCCCAAGCCCTGCTTTCAGGATTATTATGGGGTTTTTTAATCAAATGACCAGAGGTATACTTGGGCAGTTTTGTGCCCTGGGTGGCAGTAGTGCACAGCTGCAGCAACCAGACCAGCAGAGACCATGACTGCTATTTTTGTGCATCCACCTAGACCAGTGCCTGGGACTGGTGCCCTGCTCCCTCCCATCCTTAGTTACACTACTGCTAATGACTGTCTAATATAGAAGCAATCCTGGAAACTGGGCTTAGAACCCAAGAGTCATTCCCCCACCCCACAAATGACTATCCCAACGATGAGGAGACAAGAGTTGAGTTAGCTTCTTTCAAAAGTCCTTCTATGAGAAATGTCAGTCAGCCTGGCTCTTGCTTGCTCTCCTTCTGACTCCATGACAAATGTGCATGGCTCAAACCACAAGAGTGGGCTTTGCTCAGCTAGGCTTCCTCTCTCAGGACAGGACCACATTCTTCCAGATCTGAGGGGATGAAGGATCCAAATGTGTGGCTCTGAATAAGGTGCTTAGGAAGAATAGTTTTATATTTCTAACAGTATTGCTTCATCTTACTTCATTATTATTGTGCTCTGTGGGCCCAGTCCAAAGCCAACTGAAGTCAGCAGGAGTCTTTCCAGCTCCTGTTACAGAGTTTATTAGGAAAAAATCCAGATTGGTCCCTTCAGCACATCCAGTCTTGGCTTCAGCATGTTTGAAAATCAAATGTCTGGTCTCAGGAGGGTGATTCAAAGAATGGTGTTTGGCACTTGGGGTCACTGTGCAGTCATGGGACTTATGCACCTCTGAAGGGTGAATCAAAGGTCCAGATGATGAGTAAGGTCCGGACGTTTCCTAACAAACTCTGGAACAGGAGTTGGCCGCTGACTTCAGTTGGCTTTGGGCTGGGCCCATACAGCACAATAATAATGAAATAAAATGTAGTAATACTGTTAGAAATATAGAAATGTTCTTCCTAAGCAACCTGGTCAATAAGGGGGCCTTTACACCAAAAGCTTCCTCTATTCCACAGCAATTTCAGTTCTCTGTAACTGCTGACAGACCCAGCTCCTCAACCCCTGCAGCCAGCCTCTCTGTTTCCTGGCTGCAGCTTCAAGCCTCTGATGGACTCTAACATCAAGGTGAAATAATCACATACCCGCAGTGTTCTCTGTAACAGTTGTGTGCCTGACAAAGGCAACATCCCCTTTTTCCACCAGACACCTGTAAAATATAAGAGAAAAGCAAGCTGCAGCTATTTGGAAATTTTTGCCCTCCCTAAAGATCTAATTCTGACACTAGTCATGTTTCATGAGCCTAATTTGTGAGCATTTCTAGATCTGTTAGAAGGGACACAATTATTTTTTTTAAATAGCTAAACTGTTACCTCCCCACAGCAGAATTAAATCTGTTTCAGCACATATCTTGTTTCTGATTCTTGAATTTATCATGAAACACAAAAGTTGTCCACAAAACAGCTTGTCTTATTAATATCAATCACTATTTTATTTTGTCACAGGACTTCATTTGCCACTCTCTGAATCCTCCTTCAGGGTAGATGCCTGGATGTACATGTAAAAAGATGAGCTTCCAGCAAAAGTACTGTAAGCCCTGAAGCACAGCTGGGTTGTGATAAGTTCCTTGCTGTTCGATAGCACAGAAGTGATATTGTAGTTCTGATGGTCCCAGAAATACATGAGGCAAGGATTTGTGTGCGTGAAATCTTTTATTGGAGCAACCGCATGGTTGGGATAGACTTAGAAAAGCTTTTAGGTATCCCATACCTTTTCTTAGATACTGAGGCCTGAGAAAGGTATACTGTGGTACCCAAAAGCTTGCCTAAGTCTATCCCAACCATGCAGTTGGTTCAGTAGAAGACAACACCTCCAGAATCCTTGCCTTTATTATTTGATGGTATCAACGCACAAGTTACTGCCAGGCTGAGCTCATGCCCAATATAAGCTCCTTAGACACGAGCTATTGTTGAAAGGGTACAATAGGGATGGACGCTGGAGTGGGATCTGCCCCCTCACATTTTCTTCTGGAATCTTTGAGGAGAGTTGAGGCAAGATCCATTGTTTTCCCTTTCAGTAACTGGAAAAGTTATAGCAGATCCCCAGTTTGGGAGTCCTCTCCTGTTACCACTCTTCTCCCATTTTAAGAAGCAGTACTATTGAGGAGTATAGGGTGCATGGAGTGGAAGGATGGTATCTACCAGTTAGGGCCTGAAGGCAGGCAGTGGGAGGTAGTGGGGAGAGGTTAGGATTTCCAAAGCACTCTCAGCAGGTACAGGGCCCTCACTACATTCCCACAGCAGGAACATTTTGGATTATTTTTTGAACTACCTACCGGAAAGCCCCAGCGTACCCAGCGTATCTGTCAGCAGCTGTGCACTTGGGAGGTGGCGGTACCAATACGCCAATACACAGGTTGCAAAATTGTGAGCCCTATATCTGTCAGCAGCTGAGCGCTTGCCAGATGCCCATGCCCATGCCCCTGAGCCAATACACAGGTTGCAAAATTGTGAGCCCTCGGGAGACCCAGGAGCACAGCCTTCACTGAAGGGTACTGAAGGGAGGAATAGAGAACACCCAGTGAGTACAGTGGATTTGTATAGAATGGTTTGCATAGGGATGATGCTGCCTCCGGCAGGGGGTTGGACTTCTGGAGGTCCCTTCCAGCCCTCCTTCTTCTCAACTCTACGATCTCCCCTCTTGCTCTTGCTTTTCCCTGACACATTATATTACTCAAGCTAGTGAATAGTTGTTGTTCAGCCTTAAAATAATTTAAATTATTTTAAAACCAAATTAAAATAACTTCATGAAACTGAAGAGGCATTTTCTTAAATTAAAGAATGGATCATTTCTGTTAAAAAAAAAAAAACAACAACAAAACCAGAGCTTCCCGAGTTACGAATTGTGAAACCCAGAGTAGAAAACACACATCTCTACTACAGGAAGCAAACCATGTGCTCCAGCTTTTCACTATAAGAGTCAAAGGCTAGCATTTTCTACATGTATATTTTCAGGATCATTTTAATACCTCAGACTACTTTGGTTGCATTAGAGGTTGTACAACCACAAAAGAAAGATGGGTCCTACCCCAGTCTGTGTAATGTTTTCAGTATAAAAAATGAGAGAGATTTCAAAAAGTGAAAGATTTCAGTTGGGACACTACGAACATGGGGGATGTTTTTGATCTTCACAGAGGAAGTCAGGTCTATCACACTGGACCCAAATCAATGTTCCCCTAGCCCAGCACTCAGCCTCCACCCATAATTGCTACTTCTGTTGCATATGACATTGCATAATTGCCACTTCTGAGTAAAAGTGGAAGACACATTCCAGTATGCAGCTGTTGGGATAATGTGCCAACAGGAAACGTTTCTTCCAAACTCTTGCCTTATCCTTGATATCATAACTCCGGATTGTCACCTTACACATATGAGCATTCATTCTTTATTCACGGTCTATGGACCCTGCCAAATAAATGAGCTGAAATGCTATATCCAAGTGCTGACCCCATCAGCATAAGACATATTTAAGGCATTCTCAGTGAAACTTCGCTGGTGGGAATTTTCAACAAAAACAGCTTTTCCCACTTCCTTGCTCCCAGCTAGAAACCTCAAGTCACCAGAACCTCTAGGGCCAGAGAAGAGCTATGGGATGATGCTTTTGTTCTCTAGCGGTGGCCTCACCTAAATCCCTAGAGCCAACTGGAACACAAATAGCTCCTTGAGAAGGGGATACAAAACGTGACTCACCATTAGGGTAAAGCAAGCCCATGGGGATATTCCAGCCAGCTGTTCTTCCAAGCCCTGTGTGACAGGACTTCGTACCCTCCAAAGCCTTCCATGTGATATTTCGGTTGGATGCCTTTACAACAGCCACAGCAAAATATGTACCTTTCACAAGAGAGAGACAAAAGGAAGGGAAACAGGAGATCGAGTGATGCACCTGAATGGACTTCGAATGTTCCAAGCTGTTTCACACCTTCCTTTCTTTGAAGAAGAAACTGCAGATGGGAGTGAGGAGAACATGTTGTGCCACTAGAGCATCTTCCACCCAAGGGCCACCGAGCACTCTGCCGATGAATGCAGTTAGCCCCACAACACCATTCCAATGTTACTTAGGGTGCAGACTTTCAACCTGTGCTTAAAGAGACCTCAGACACAGGCACCTGACAGAGCTGAGCATTCGCTATAGATTTCCCCATTATTCACTTCTACTTGGGCTCACACCAGGGGCTGAACCCAAGACCACCAACATTAAAGCTTGAGTCCCTACTACTTCCAATAAGGTAGTAAGCATTAGCGGGTTTATAGACATCTGCAGATAAGCCGATAGGGGCGGGGGGGGGGGGGGGGACATAAAACACCCG